GTTCGTTGTTCAAAGCCAGCCTGGGCAGAAAAGTCCCCATGAGATTCTTATCTCCAATTAACCATTCAAAACTGGATGTAGAGCTGTGGCTCAAAGTTGTAGAGGGCTAGCCTTTAGCAAAAGAGCTCAAGTGACAATGCTGAGCTCAAGTCCCTGAGTTCAAGCCACATGACTGACAAAAAAAAAGGAAAAAGAAAAAAGAATTAAGATCTTTATAAAAACAAGGGATCTAAATATAGCTTGAAAGAATAAAGTCAATACAGCAGATCTTATTAATATTAATGAAGTTTCCACTTTAGTTTTTACCAAGTTGACAACATATACTGACAGATTTAGGAAAGCTAATATAACAGAACATGGTCTTTTCCTCTATTTTCCTTTAATAAAATATTCAATGTATTATTATGTATCTAAACCACACTTCACTGAAAAATTAAAAATGACAATTACTTCATGTTTAATTTCTTTATTTTCTCCAGAATACTTTTTATATTGAAGCCCAAATTGTTACTTTGAGAAAGGGATAAACAGAGAAACATGGTGACAAAACATTTCATTTCTTTTAACTTATGGTATTGTGAGCAGTCACTTTTGTAGGCAATACTTATTTTTTTCCTTTGTAGAAAAGAAGAAATAAAAACAAACAAACAGCACCGTTAAAGAATACATGATCCCTGAATTCTAAACAAAACACTGTCTAAAAAGTTTGTAAATGCTTGTTGCACTCAGTCACATTTAGTCAGGTATCAAAGCAAGCATAACAGTATTAAATCGTCTCAGTCTTATTGAATTAAATACTCCTCCTTCTGAGGATTTTACACACCTTTCTGAGTTTTTTTTTCCTATGGGAATAATATATATTCTTTGGTAGAGGACTGAAGGAGGGTTTCACTTTTCTGTATGGTGATATAAAATACCTACATATGTTCAGTGCCCTTGCCCTCAATCTGTGTTTGCCAGGCATGTTATGTTTGGGTTGATTTCACATTTTGCTGTTACACTGTAGGAGTAATCCCGCCTTTAAAAAGGCATTACATGGCTAATGTCATACAGATGTAAACATTCAAAATACTGACCGAAAAGAAAAAAAAAATAAATGCACACAAACACACATTTACAAAAACATAACGAAAATATACATGAGATTAGGTTTGCAACAAATGGGGTAAAAACAGCTTTACAATAATGGCAACCAGATAAAGCACTTTCTTTGAACAGTACAGGGATGACAGACATATCTCTATAGTCTAAATTATTCTGCAACTATCCACTAGAGTACAAAGCAAAATAGTATGTGTTATAAAATAAAAAAGCAGCTCCTGTATAGTTTTTTTTTTTAAAAGCTTTTTGTGAAAAAGCATGAGGACCGAAGACAACTGGATTTGTATAATCAGTGACATTTTGGCTACATGGGCCCCTGACAGTCTGATGACTCCTTGTTGTAGGACTCTTCACATTGTTCTGGGCAACACAGATGGACAGCTAGTTTGAACTCTGTTCAGAGGGAATCAGTCCCTGAGGCAGCTAGCAGGCCTCACCACCACAGCCCCAATGCATTCAAGTCCCTATACTAAGGTTTAGCATGAACATCCACAACAATTAAAAACAAAAACTCTAGGGCTTCACCCATACCATTGAGAAGGTACGAAAGCAGAGGCCACAGCCAATTCCTCCTTTGCAATGATGCAAGTATTAATCAAAGAAAGGGGTTCCAGCAACTATTATCTTGACTTTTAACTTCACTATAAAGCACCATTGGAAACAGCTTGTTTCTGCATATTACTTTGAGCTAAGAACTTCCAAGGTCTCGAAGTCAACTATAATTTCTACAGCTCATCCCAGAAACACACAACACCTCAAAGTCTTTATAGCAACCGGGCTCAACGTTACAGGCTTGTTTTCAAGTTTCTACTTCAAAGCAGACCTTAGCAGGGAAATATTATATATATATATATATATATATATATATATATATATATATATATATATATATATGCTGTGTTCACCACCATTTCTGCTATTCTTGCTTTGGGGAAGGAAAACATTTTCCTTTTGAAAATGAATTTGCACCAGAATGCTCTTATTCACATGCCCATTCCTTACTTAAATGTCTTTATACACCTCAGGCAGGAATATGCATATCATGTAGAAGGGGGATTAGGGATTTGCAGTATCCTTTCCTTTCCCTGTTCCAAAAGTGCTACTTAGGGAAATAAATCCTTTGTGATTAAAAAACAAAACAAAACAAAATAAATGTTTACATGTGCAAGTTCTAATCCTGACCAGGGATATAGGAGTATCCCATCATCAAGATGCTTACAACTGAAATTTGCACTTTACACCACAATAATCATGTACTAAATAACATAGTCTATTTGCACATAGGCAGACACATGTAGAAATCAGGAAACTAGGAACCTACTCATCTAGTTCAAATATATTGGCTTTGATATATTTATATATAATATTGAATGAACACCTATAAAATACCTGACCCACAATTTACTTCGGAATTTCTTTTATTTGTTTTAGCCCAAAGATGAATATTCATTTTTTTCGGGATAATGATATGAGGACAATCAGATTTTGAAAGGGCACCGAAAAGAGCAAAGAGACAGAAAAATGATGTTCTTTGGACTTGGGTGATAGAATCCATGCACTATCAACACTTGGTTCTCCAATTCAGCATGTGAAAAAATCCAAACATACAGAAGGACACTTTTCGTTATTCCCAGTAAGCATTTTGCAGGCAGTGTTCAACAGGGATGGAACTGACAGTGAGCTCAATATCACATCAGCCTCAACTGTTCTTCCAACATGTGTCTGTTACTGGTGTGATAGTTTTCAATCTGCTGGTGTAGGCAGTATCTGACAATGGAGTAGCAGCGATTGAATTTGGTTGAATTTGGAAGAAGTTGGCATGCAAGTGTCTATCGTGTTGTGAAGATAAGAGCATGATCTTCAAAATTTAAGATGAAATCTGAGCCAAGTCAATCATAAAGACATCGTTGATGAAAAACAAAAACAAAAACACCATCCATGTACAATCTGATGCTCAGTTAAACTAAGAGTCCGTGGGCACTTACATTGCACTCCTTGGGAAGAGCTGGTTACGTACATTGCTACCTTTCTCAGTCATTAATTTTGTTGATTTAAATGTGAAACACAGAAGAACTCAATCACCAAGTCATAGCCAAAGACCAGGCAGGCCTTTCTTTGCTTTGCTTTCTTAAGACAAAGTATCTTCACTATCTGCAATTTGTAAATAAAAATGGTATCTCTATCGATTAAAGAAAAATTTGGCAATATTACAATAATAAATAGGAAAGAAAAAAACATACACCATAGCTTGTTATTTACCAAGATAAGACATCCAAGTGTTTTTGTTGGTTTCAGGAATGTAATTTTTGCTCATTCCTGTTAACTTTTAAAGACAGCTTTTTAGGGAATGCCAAAAAGTTTACATTGACTAAAGTGATCCCATGTGAAAGTATCTGCTAATCTTACCTTGGATATAGATGATTTCCCCCACTTTTAAAAAGTTCTACGGCCATGAGCAACCAGCGGGTTAATGGCACTCCATATTTCGTGCTCTGTAATCTGAAGTTAAGTGGGCGAGGTTTTGTTGGCTTTCATCTTCCCAGTGTGTGTGGTTTGTGTGTGCTTTTGAACTTCTTTTTGGGAATAGAGCCTCCAGAACTAGCAATAGGGTGGCCCAAGCATATGGAATGTTGCTCAACTACTCAACGCTTGGACTTTACTGGATAAACTCTGAAGATAAATGCCAAAGATGCAGTATCCCTTTTTCAAAAGTAGTTCCAACCCTGCCTCTTGCACCTAGATATGGGGCACAAAGCAAATTATGCAATAATGCATCTATTTTTAAAGGCTGTAATGCAGACTGAGACTCCAGGGCTGGGAGGGATGTGACATGGTTCAGAAAATTGTCATGCTTAAGCCTTCTGCAGTTCCTTTTGCCATCAGGGACACTAGTGCAAAGAGATGGGTGACCCCTGAAATGCTAGAGGATAGTATGCAGTGATATCATTAATAATCTTTAATTATATATGTGGTCATTGAATTGCACTGAATAGAATGTCTAATATTTACATTCTCAATCCATTTATGCATGCATATGACATTTTGATTGCTTTTACTTTCAGGGCATTTTTTTTTCATATTTGCTCTTCAAAGCCATCCATGAAGCTCCCAAATCTTATGGATTTATGGTCCTTCTTTGGCCAAGGATTCTTATACTAACTGGGGATTAAGGGCTGGAACCAGAATATTGGTTCCCCGAGGCCCATGATACAATTTCAGATGTAGGACACATTTCACTACAATCTGTGTACAAAATCCAAGGTAAATTCAGATTTTTCTGCCAGTCTCTGAGAAAGTGTATTAAGAAGGGAGGAATGAGAACAGGGACAGTTGGTTTCATCGATGGCATAACTCCTTTAATGTACCACTTATGATATGAGTAAATACAAGGAATCACACACTTAACTTAGATTCCCCATTCCAAATAGGACTTAATCATTGTAGTCATGGCAGGTCCAAGAAATGTCACTGTAAAAAACACTTGTCGTGATGGTAAATTTATAGAAAAAAAAATGTGTGATCAACATTAGTCATTTTTATTGTTCTCTTTCTACACTTGCAGTTCTGGTGATTAGACAGTTTAAAAATGTCCTTTTTCTAGTTATACCTGGGCAAGAAAAAGGCAAAAAGGAAATGGGGCAGTGACCTGTATACAAAAACTTTCCAAAGGTTGGAATGGCAACTAAACATGTAAAGGGACATGCTGTTGAGCCATTCAGATGGGATATCTCCTCCCTTTCTGAGAAATGCAAGAACATAATAGCCTAGAGAAGAAATGATAATCTGTTCCAAAGTAAAAAATAAATTAGCATACAAGCCACTGCAGTTTCAATTTGCTGTTGTTGATGCTGTTTGGCTTTTCCAAGTTGAAAAGGGATACTGCACCTTTCACTCAGCTCTTACCGTACAACCAGGCAAGCTACACAGAGTTTTGAAGGACCTATGCAGTCATCATGGCAGAAGGCTCCACAGCCTTTGCACACGATCATGGCTTTGAGCCGGCAAGAGCATTTCAGTTCCAACTCATCTGCATTGCTGCTGTCCGCAAAGTTCTGAACGGGCATCTGAGCATTTGGACCAGGCAGGGCTGTGCCAGGACTGGAGCCACTTCCCAAAATCCCAATGGACTTTTCAATTGCGGACGCTGCCCTTTTGAAGCTTGTGCTCCCAAAGTGTATTGTTGGATAATTTCCACAGAGCTGCTGTTGCTGTGGCACCTGCATTTTCTGAGCAGCTAATTGGGTGAAAGGCTTCTGTGGCTCAGAAAGCAAATAGGAAGAGAAATCTGCATTTTTTAGCGCAAATGCTTTTAACTGTTCTTTCATTTCATTCTGGTCATAGGAAACTTGTTTCATGCCCAGTTCACAGCTGCTGCTTAAACCTTCCTCAAAAGAAAGTGGTTCTGATTTTATATTGCTACATATGCCCGTGGACTGTGGCCAACTAAGTCTCTTAGTGGTTTCCATGGTAACTGGAGGTTGCTTTTGATCAGATGGGCCTTCAGCATTGGGGAGAGGTGGAGGTAGTGGAGGTGGAGGTGGAGGAGGCGGGGGCAAGGCCAAGGGTGGAGGGGGTGGGGGTGGAGGAGGTGGGGGTGGTGGCAATGGAGGATGCACTAGGGCTTTGTTAGGCATGGCATGTGCAGCCCCTCCCACATCCTCAGCTTCTTTTGTGGGTATATTGGGTGATAGCATATTGGCTAGCCTTAGCTGGTGAGATGCTGATGAAAGACCAACTTCTCCCAATCCCTTTTGTTCAAGATGCCTATTGAAGGCAAATGTATTACAACCCACTGGAGTCTTAGAAGAGGACTGTAATAGAGCTGCAGTGGGAATGGGGCCCCTGGCAGCCATGGGCATTTGGTAAAACTGCTGCCTGTGTGAGGTACCGGCATCAGGGTGGAAGCTGCCATTTTTGTCAACATGGAATAGGTTCTGCTGGAAGCTGCATGCAGGGAGCAGCCGCTTTTGCTGTTTGACCTCGGGGCTGTGGACAATTCTGCTCTGCACGGAGTGCTTGTTGATCCATTCTTGTTTAAATGGCTGGCTGTGTCCTAGTGGAGTGGTGCTGGGGTTTAGAACACAGGCCACCCCTTTCACATCAGTGTCCACCAGTAACTTCCCTGGCTCACATTTAACTTGAGTGTGTTCCCCCACAGTCCTGGCCACTCTCTTTTTCGGATGGTTTTCTCGCTTTCTCATTTGGAGTGGTGCAAGAGTCCCTGCCAAGTAGCCCTTACCATCTGGATTTGGGGAGTTCAATGGCGCTTCAATGATGTTCCTCTCCGGGGCTGTTTTACCCACTGAGGTAGTCTGGAGGGGTAAAGGAAGCCTGTTGATTTCAAGCTTGGCTCCCAGTCTGGGCTGTGGCAACACTTTTTCCAAAGGCAGGTTGCCCTGCAGTAACTGTGTCACCAGGGGGTTGTTGGCCTCCACAGATGACAGGCGGCAGCTTGAGCTTCCTGCACTCGGAACTCTTTTCAGGGTGTCTGTGGCCAAGGAAATCACCTCTTCCATGGGACTCGAGGTGGAAGCCTTCAGGGCCTGTGTTTGTGGTCCACTAGAGGCCACCTCAGCAGCTGGAGGAGGCAGCTCAGGGCTGGGAAAGTCTTCTGTGTCCATTCTGAACCCCTTTTCCATTTCATGAGGTTCGGATTTCACAGGAAGAGTGACACTGGTTATGAGACTCCTGGAGTGAAGTTCTGACATGTGTGGATAGCTTGCGTGTTCAGCTTTGATTGCCTTTGGACAGCTCTGCTCTGGATATTCTTTCTGTTTACTGGCGCTGGAGTGACCAACCAGAGGTTGTCCTGCGCTCCTCATCCCATCCTCATTCCAGCAAATCCGGTTTCCTTGGTTATACTGACTGCTACAGGTTGTGTCTGCTTCACTCTTGAAAGTGGTAGTGTTTCGTGCCTGCTCAGCAAAGCTTTGACTAGGAGTCGTCACCTCATTCAACTTCTCTGGAATGACGAGGGGCAATTCTCGGATACTGGGGCAGGGGCCCTGCAATGTTTTACAGTCTTGTTTGGCTGTGGAAGCACCAATGAAAGCAGAAGTGGGATCAACACTTTCATTTGTTACCTGCTCAGGCCTGCTGATCACGGACACCTGAGGACATGCCATGGGTTGTATGGATACTTCCGTCCTCACCGACCTGCTCTGCAGGTCCAAGCTGGCCTCGGTACTTTCAACGGAGACAGTCAGAGACAAACTGGAGGTCAGGGTGGTGCTGTGGTCAACGATCACTTTGCAAGGTATGGATCTGTTTATGGCTGCTGGTGCAAAGCCCCCTGGTGGCTGTTGAGGTTTTCCAGAGTTGTCTGCCCTATTTTGAGGCCCTGAATTTTTGTCCATGCTCTCAGCACTTAACTTGGGAGGACTATCATAAGAGTTTATAGTTAGCATATTTCCAGTAAACATTGCAACAGGTGGATGTACAACCAGCGGGTCGGTGACTGCCAGTGAATCACTGCTGCTGAGGGTGGTTCTTACAGTGGTTCCCACGGATATGGTAGCTTGTTCTTCACTCCCAGGCATGGCTAACTTCTCAGGAGGGAATCTGTTGTTAATTCCTGTTGGGGGAATCAGGACAGAACTAGTGGAGAGATGGTTTGGCAAGGTATTTCCAATGGAGGGAGTTGGCACAGAGGTGTAATGACTGGAGACTAAGTTAGTAGGGTTGCTGCTTGCTAAAAGCATGGGTTTATCATCCATGGAGCTTGACAGACCGGCACCTTCTGTTGTGGCTGGAATGGAAGTGCTGTCAATACATTTTGGTATAATGGCTATGCATGAAGTGTCCGTTCCCTGGATGGTTTTTAACATGTTTATATTACAAGCAGAAATGGTTGTGTTTGCACTGTCAACAGACATTAAGACAGAGGATTTGTCAACAGGACTCACAAAGGGATGTTCTTTAATTGTTCCCGACATAGCAGTGCTGCAGACAGACACAGGGACAGAATTTTTATTAAAAAGTATGGGCACACTACTATTTTCAGAAGAGGTAGATGAAACAATTTTCTCAGATAAATGTGATATGGGGATGTTTTCTTCAGAACTGTGCACAGATAAGTCAGTGGCAGTTTCTGGAAGTGGAGTTGGGTTAAGAGGCTGCTGTAATACAGTGGGGATCTCCCGAAGGTGTGTCGACTTGTTGCTAGGAGATCTGCAGTTTGGATTGACAATAATGACACCAGTGGAGCCTTCCATTTTTGTTTCAGGGTTAGAAGTGACTTCCAAATTTGGAGGTCCTTCCTTGGAGCTAAGTGGAGGCAACCGGGTCTCTTTAGTGGTCGGGAAAAGGTGGGCTCGAGCTTGATGTTTGGCAAAGAGCTTAGCCTTGGTCTGCTCTTTGATATGGGCCAGGGTTCTTGCTTTGCTGCCTTCTCCGGGGCTTCCCATAGCTCCGGAGACAATGCTGGCCGCAGCTGCTGCTGCAGCAGCTGCAGCAGCCTCGCGCTGGGCCCGGGCTTGTTGGGCCCTGGCTTTGATATCAGCGAGGGTTCTGGCTCCTGTGTTCCTTCCTCCACTGACAGATGTGCTAGTGGATGCTCGAGACTCTGCTTTGGAGACTGGTTGGCTCTTGATAATAAACGGTGGTCCAATTTTGGAAAGCTGGATCTGAAAGAGGTAAGAATGGAAAGATTAAGTGTTTCCATAAACATGAGCCATGAGGAGGAAGTAAAAATTAGGTGGAAGAAGATGCTGTCTTCTCTTATAATTGGAATGAACTATGCCTCAACCCCTCACAGGGCATTTAAGATTAATAACAGGTATAGTATGAAGTTAAGTCAACCTTTTAATCTCTAGAAACCTCAACCACTAATTTTATTCAGCCAGGAAGTACTATGTTTCCTTAAATGTCATAAAAATGAGAATAGAACCCATGCTTTTTTTTTGTTGGTCATGGGGCTTGAACTCTGGGCCTGGGCACTGTCCCTAAGCTCTTCACCTCAAGGTGAGTGCTCTACCTCTTGAGCCACAGTGCCACTTCCAGTGGTTTATTGGAGATCAGAGTCTCATGGACTTTTCTGCCCGGGCTGGCTTTGAAATGTGGTCCTCAGATCTCAGCCTCCTGAATCCTAGCCTCCTGCTAGGATTACAGGCATAAGCCACTGGCACCTGGCAATGCATGCTTTTTAAAAATGAGGCTAGTCAAACATATTTAAAGATATATCTGTTTAAAATAGCCTCCTTAATGAAATGGAAACACACACACACACACACACACACACACAGACACACACACACACACACAACTGGGATGCTTATTCTGTTTGAATTTATCTATCTTAATTTGACCCAAAGAAAAAGCACTCGCCAAAGGAATATAAGACCACAATTCTCATTCTGGGTTTGGAAACAGATTCTATGTGGTCCTAGGCAAGTTGCCTGCATGCTTCAGTTTCCAGGAACTCTAGGAGCCAAGGATTATATAGTTGTCTCAGTTCCCATACCAACTAACATGCTAGTTTGTACATGTATAAGGAGCATACTATTCTTGTCACTCAGTTGTAAAATGAAATGAGTTATTTATGGTCTATTTCCTTCAATGGAGCTATTATAAAGATAGAATGAGGCTATATTCGTGAAAGGGTACTGCTTTCTAAGGGGGTTACATTATCATTATATTTTCATAAAAGCAAGGGTAAATCTGAGTTTTTTGTTCTTCAAATTAAATATGGGTCAGGCAGTTTCATTTGATACTGATATTCCACTAGCCTTGAATTCTGTATACATCCTAATCTATACTGGTCACCTACATATGATAGGAAAGAGATTCATTATGTCAGCAAATTCATGAGACACATATACATACTTAGACTATTACCACTTGACACATACTATAGCATTTATTTCCATCTAGAATTAGGTTTTGGACACCAGACAGATGAGCTTATCTTTCTGAGCAACCTTCTTTCTTATTTTCCAAAAGTTTCTGAAGCTTAACCTTTAATCTATAGCTAGGAGGATGTGAATTTGGCAAGAAGATTCTATTTTTCCTTTAAAAAATTCCCATTGTCGAAGAAAATAAAACACATTAAAATTAAACATAAATCTCTTTAACCAGGAGCTTAAGGGAAACATCCAATGTCTACTTAGTATCTGTCTCTTTAATTTCAATGTAGTCTAGTTACAAAGGTCTTATCACTTTGAAAACAAATCTTTACCACCAATCAGGCTGATCTTTAAAACACTTCCTCTGGGACAGATGTTTGTATTTTTCTATGTTTCAGAAAGTAAAATGTATGTTTTAAGTTGAAATAGATTGTTCATCTTTTTATATGCTGACTTTCTCAACAGCTGCTCTATTAAATAGAAAAACTAATAGTGACATTCTTAAAAGTCAACCTTGTAGAGATAATGAATCACCTATGACATTGATACAAAAGTACAAAATAAAGAGAAAGTTATTTTTAAAATCTTGAAGTATTTATAATTTGGACAAATCTTGTAATGGTAAAATAATCCACTTTTTATGCCTACAAATGCAAAGAGCTTAGATAAAAGCACCAAATAAACATCAGTGTAGAAAAAAATTAATTAAATGAAAGTTTCTTTATTTAACTTTAATTTTCAGTTTATTCAAACAGGTCATATTTATATAAAAGATTTGTTTCTTGAAATGTTTGTCCATAAGGCTTTTAATTTTGTGGATTTAAAGACTTCATTATTATCTTGGGAATTAAAAATAAGATATATATATATATATATATATATATATATAATTTATCTATAGCACTTTCCCTCAGATTTCATAAGGTGACTTTCAATCATTTATTCAATAAATATTTAATGAGACTCTACCACAAGCCAGGACCTCTCTATTAGGTGAAAATGGTCTTTAGTAACTTTTGGAAAAATTAATAAAAGTTTAATATATAATGTATATAATATATAATGTGTGCATATATAATATAATGTATATATAATATAAATATAGGTATATTTCACCTTCATTTCCTAGAGCTGGTTTCTGGCTTTTGTCTACATTTTATAATCCTACTACATTTTATAATCCTCTGAATTATTTTATCTCAGTTTTCCAAGGTGATGTAGATCACGATCTGCCCCTTAGAATCCCCAAGTTTTTTGGTGGTTTGTAGGTCTTTCTCCCCAGTTTTTTCCCCCTTTAAATACTGATACCCAATTATATGCATATCTCTAAACCTCTCAATGTATGTATTTTAAAAGTAAAAAGTAACATATACAATTAGATTGGGTAGTAGGAGGATACAATTATAAAAGGATAGATAAGTAAGCTTGGAAGAAGAAAATAAAATATTATTCTTCGACGATAACTTTCTGAATAGGAAAAGCCTATCCATGGAGTTGCCTTGTTTCATTATTATTAAACTAATTACTACTGGTAATAGTACTGTACCTTGAGAGGGGGAACCCTGGGTTCCTCTCTTGGAGGCTGCTCTTTCTCGGCTGGGCTGGTGTTTGGAAGGTTCCGCACTGGCTGATCATCTTCTATTCTGGCTCTCTTTTCCTTACAGATTCCAAAGCTATGCTGCTCTGCAGTTTTCCTCTTCGATATCTCTGATTCTCTGCTTTCATTTCTTATCCCATCAGGTGACTTGGAGGGTTCTGATGACTTGGAAGGATGTGAAGTCTCTAACCGATTCTGTGTGCTTCCTTGCTTATGGATTTTATTTCTTGAGCCTTCTGCAAATGAAGCCTTATCAACAGATGGGATATACTGCTTGTCCTGGAACTTGACCGATGAAAGCTCATTTCCCTTAGTCTCTGGCTCTTCAGAAAAGACAGATAATTCCAACGGTGAGGAAATTCCTTTCTTTTCTGTTCTTTGAAGGACAGTATGATTTTTAACTTTCATCATTTCTGTAGGAGGAAGTTCTGGGATTGAAGAAGGGTAAGGCTTCTCAATTTCAACATGAGATTTACAAGGCTGCTGACATGGGGGTTTGTTGTGCAATTCTTCAGCTGGAAATGCATCAGGAGTAATGGAAGAAGAACCTATTTTGATGGGTTCAGGGGTGTTGGATAGAGGCCTCTGCTGGGAGATGAGGCTCTCTCCTGGAGAGCTGACAGGGGCAGAAGTTTCATCTTTCTGTGGGGAAAGAGCTTCCTCAGATATGGAAGGTGACTTTCTCTGTTGATGCATCATTCTTTCGCTCATGGAAGAATTAGAAACGGGGGAAGTCTCTGTAGGAATTGGAAAACTGGATACAAAAGCAGTCTCAGAGTTGAGAAGCATGGAAGACACTGAAGATGTTTCTGATGTCAAAGGCAAATCAGACATTGGCGATGTGTCTGATGTTAAAGGCAGGTTAGATACTGGTGACGCTTCTGATGTTAATGGTAAGTTGGACATCAGAGATGCTTCTGATATTTCAGGTGAAGTGGATACTGGAGATATTTCTGACATTAAAGATGCATGAAGCCTTTCATCAGTGGGATTCCTCTGGTTATATTTGTCTGTATTTTCAGTGCTGGACACCTCAGAGCAAAATGTTGTTTCGAGAGAGGCTTGTGTACATGATTCTTCAGACATGGACTGGGCTTCCCCACCTGGAGATGGAAGGCTGGTACATGCTCCCTCTGGGCTCTCTGAAGAAAAGGAAGTTTCAGAGATACAAACCTTTTCAGAAAGCTGCTCATCGGGATCACTCTGTAACTCCATTTCTACAGCAACTCCTTCAATTGGAAACTGGCTTTCTAGAGAAGATGACCCTGGTTTTATTTTTAGAGTATTGGTCTCTAGTGCAGTTTCTGGTTCTTTCTGTTCTGCATCACTGACATGAGTCACAGATGATGTAGAAGGAACCAGAGAGTCACAGACTTCCAGTTGATCAATAACAACTGACATTTCTTCCTGGGGACATTCTGATTTTTCTTCAATCTTAACTTCAATATGAGGCAAGGTTTCTAAAACATCATTCATTATAACACAAGATTCCAAGTTGTCTTCAGGAGCTGCTATTTGGGGCTCTTCATAAGATGTGGCTGGACTTTCAGATTCCTCAGTAAACTCAGTTATTGTCTTATGATTTTCTTCTTGGCACTCACAGATGCTAGTCTCTACCTCTTCTGCGATTTCCTCCTGAATCACAGACTCCTCAGGGATCAAGATATCTTCTGATTCTAACTCTGCCATGACATCTTTAGCTGGAACCTCTACCATAGGACAAAGTGTAGCACAGAAATCAGGCTCGGAGGATGCAGAACTCTTCATGCTTTTGGATGGCTGTTCTTCCATGGGGTTCAGTACAGAAGACTCTGAAGGGCAAGTGGTCTCACATGTGGAATTCCCTTCACCTCCATCACTGTGTGGTCCAGAAGTCAGCTTCATAGACTCCTCTCTTGACATGCCCAATCTGAAGAGAAATTAAGAGTGTCAAATTATTGTTCAACCAGAAAAGAAGAAAGGCACAACTGGAATCTCTCACAAAGATAGTATTTAATAAAAAAATAAAGATAACTAATTAATCTTCTGATCACTACACAGCATGATTAATTTATGAAAATTTGCAGTTTGTAGTTGATATGTAGTTTCTCTACTGTTTTATAGTTATAACTCAGAAAATAGTCTACTTCTTATTAAGAAAGTCACAGATTATTATTTGTTAAGGAGATATGAACCACACCAAGTATTAATAAAAGGTATATGAAAGTTACAAGTAATAGGATATTAGAAAATATAACTCAAAAGGCAATAGAAAATATGACTTAATTTTTTTAAATCAGAAAGTAGAAAATGCTCTTCAAACAGAAAATTATGTTAACTTTAGAGGATGCAAGAGAGGCAAATATAAATCAAAGAAAGATGAAGGAAACATATCCAATGCCGAAACTGAAATGACTTCTAAAGATTGGTTCTCTTAAGTCAACCTAAGTAATATTTCTCATCCACCTTATTTTTAAGCATAAATTAACAGTACAAAGGTTTTTTATTGTGATATTTGTGAAATGAATATAATGAAATTTGACAAATTCACCCAATCTATAGTACCTTTTCCCTTTGGCCCTTTCCTTCTTGTTAAGATGTTTTGGTGAGTTTTACTGTGATGATTTCAAGCAAACATGAGGTGTACTTTATAATATTCACCTACCCCCATCTTCAAAATTCCCTTTCAACAATTATGACATATTTTTTGAGGTCTAGATTCTATAGATAAGCAAAAGTTACACTATTTATCCTCTTGAGCTTAGTTTATCATCTTATTTAGGCATCGTGTCAAACAACACAGTATGAAATTCTAATAAAGAACAATAAGACATATTTGGGGTCATCCAAGTTTCTCTACATGCTTAAATTTGTTTAAATCAAGACTTTCAGATTTATTTAAATAGATCTTTCACTGTAAAAATCTTGCATGCAAGACAGTAGAGAAAATTCAAGACATAATCTAGCCTAGTATTATGTTGTCAGGCGAAGCTAAACAGAATTTTAACCAAGTGTACTGTAAATCGCTGGGTTTTTTTTTTTTTTTTGATTTGTTTTGTTTTGCTTTTGTCACATTGACTTGCAGTATCAGCATCAGATGGCAGAGAAGTGTGCTGTTCTAAATGAAGTCAAATTAGGACACATGCATTGACAAACACTAAACATTTTCCAAAGAAAGAAATACAGCTATAATAGCATTGATACAGAAAAGATCTCAGTTAAATCCACTTCAACCTTTTACTTAAGAAAAATCCTTAAAACAAAAATGAAATAAAATTAGCCACACTTTTTGACTGTTTATTGCTGTCATTAAAATTCTGAAGGTTCTGAGATTATACAAGGTGATGCTTCCATGAATTATTTCTTTCTTCTCAATTTTCCCTACATCCAAAATCCAAAGTAACTATATTATAGTGAGAGAGAAAGAACAACTACATTACAGATAAAGCAATGTGATAAACTTGAATGAGGTCTGGGGACTGGGTCAGGAGAGATAAAACTGACACTAATTTTATCCCTATCTAGGTATAGAAATCTAGCCATGAGAAGCAGAAGTTCTATTGTTTGGCTAACAATAATATCAAATAAATAAAAACACTGCTCCCAATGTTGGCTTTCACAACCAAGGAAGAAGGGCTACCTAGCGGTCTTCAGCCTTGTCCTCCTTTCAGTTTGGGTTGGAAAAAGTATCTAAAATGTAGACTCCTGGGTTCATCTCCTACAGATTCTCAATAATTACATCTTGATGGGTTCAGAAATTTCCTCTGTAGCTTTACCATTTCTAACTCAGATTTTGATAAGTTTGTAGTGATTCTATGTGAATGCAGATAATAAGCCTGCATAATTTTTCGGTTTTTAAAAGAAAATATACTAACTAGCTCTATTCAATTTAACCTAAATATAGGTTTGTGTCCAGGAATCCTGATCAAGCACCCTCAGGAATAATGCTAGGGAGGAGCTTACATTCTGAGAATGTAATCCCTTCAATGTACAACTACATTCCCTGAGGAGATCTGCGTGTGCCTCCTGGCAAAGTGTTTTCCCCTGGACAGTAGAAATTTTGTAAAACGAGGTTCCAAAGCCCAAAGTTTTGATACCCGCACCCATGTCTCCACCTTTAACACAAAACAACACTGTTTAAATCTTAGCCAGAAAGCAGGGGATGGGGTGGGGTGGGGGTTAAAGCCAAATTTCTCTACTATGGAGGACCTGGAGTTACTGTCAGTATCTCCTAAACATCTCCTTTCTTAGAGATCAGATTTTGTGAGACATCAATTCTGTACAAGCATACTGTATTTCCAGTAAACAAGCAGCGGTGAAAATGCTGCCATGCTAGTTCAGCTAGTAGCACACTACATGTGGTTGGTACTTAAACAAAGGAACAGTACATGCACATACACATATAAATGAAAACCAGGCTGCACTTGAAACAGAACACCGATAAAGTAAGGGATAATGACCCAGGATTTCCCTAACACAAGAGCTAAACAAATAATAAATTGGCTATGTACAATCAATATGTTTGGAGAGAATGTGAGACTTAAATATGTGAGTAAAACTACTTTTCTTTACAAGATTCATTAAAGGACATAGTTGGCTAAAAAACTAGGGGAATTTTGCAACAACAAAAAAAAAACTACTTATGAATGCCAAAATTGACTTCTGTAGGATTTCATGTGCTATTTTCAGTCTAAAATGAATTTTCATGAACAAGTTATAAACCTTTTAAAATGCATTTTTAAAAATTTAAGTGCTGATATGCCACTATAATTTTACCCACAATTTCTTACGCTGAGGGACTATTGCCTTTTATCACAGGTTTATTAAGTTTTACAGCATATGAGTGTGCCATGTGAAGCAGGGAATTACATTTTCATTTCCTTGTAGGAGAAAGGAGAAAAAAAATGCTCTCATACTTACTTTTCCCCATAAAACCTCTCAAAGAATTTTTCTTTCCAAGGCTCTGTTTTCTTTTCCTTCTCAATTTCTTGCCTTATTCGTAATTGCATTTCTGGGGTAAACTCTCCTAGAAAGAAAATGGTCGATGAATTGAATAAAAATACTCACCTCTTTTGCCAATTAATAAAGAAAACATGTAATTCATTTGAGTAGAATTTTACAGATATTGATGTTAAAAGGGATGACTAATGATAATATTTCTACTGCTCTTCTTTTATGAACATCACTCAAATAGTCATTTCATGTTAGATGAACTCTAAATCATTTAGCAAATGTATCATATGTTAGGACCTGCAATGGAAGTATGTATATCCACTGCTGTGAAGAAAATCTGTCTGGTAAGAGTAGAAAATACATAAATGCCTGTGAAATAATGTCCACACAATGCGTAAGTAAAAAAAAAAAATGCATGAAACAAGAGTATATAGAGAAATGCACTTAATTCTGTCTAAATCAATTAAAGAAGTTTACCTACAAGAGTTGATTCATGAGTTAGCTTTTGAAAGATGATTAAATTACAAGACACAGGAATATGAATATATTTATATTCTTTTGAAAGCCCACTAATGAGCAGGGCACAGAATTAAATGAAATGGGAAAGGAAGGGTAAGGCCAATTACCCAGTTATGATTCAAAAAGAGATATGCATACCCTACAAGAGATAGAAAGAAAGCCTGGTGGCATTCAATGGAAGAGAAAAAAGGCTAAATAAATGGTTTACAATGAAAGATCTGACAATATGGAGAGGAACTTTCAGGATTCCAGCTTGAAGCCTGCTGAACAGTGAAGACAAGGGATGAAGATTACAATTGGGCCAGGACCAGTGGGAATGCTGAAGAGGGATCAAACTGAATTAAAAATTCATGATGAGATAAAGAAAGAGGGTTATAGGTACCATTAAGATTTTAAGCTTGTGGACTCTGAGGATGGTAGTGACAGTGAAGTAAGAAAAACGGAAAGAAGAGCAGATATGAAATAGAAAGCAGTACATTTAATATGGAGTATTTTAGTGGCAAGATGCCTGTTATTAGCTGAAGTCCAGTAAGTATTTCAAAATAGAATATTGGAGATCAAAAGAGCCAGATTTGGAAGTTCTTGGTATAGGGGAAATAGTTAGAATAAAGGTCATGAACATGGTTTATTGGAAAATATTTATGTTTTATAAAGTACTGAAGATATAAATATATCATCAAATGAAAGAATAGGAGCTCTAGAAGGAATCTGAAAGAGGACTGTTAGAAATATAGCCCCTAGAGCAATTTAAAATGTATCATAAAAAAAAACACTGCAGATGATTCACATTAGACCGGGTAAAACAGAAACGAGATGGAGAAACGACATGACATGCAAGAACTGAGAAGAAATTAGACTTTTAAAATAGAAACTTTAGAAAATAGAAACATATTAATATTCTCTAGAATGATTATTTTGTTAGTTATAGGGGGGCAAAAACTGGATAGGTAAGCAATAAGAATGAGGTAGCATTGGCCTTTTTTAGTCTTACAAAAAACTTGGTGTTTTAAGGAAATACATGTTGAGGTGTAATTTAAATACAAAAAGAATTAAAAGAAGAATTCTTAGATTCGGAATACCAAAACAGGGAACAAAACTCTATAACTAAAATTATACTTCAAAGAAAATCATACTACATCAAATTTTAAATTATATCATTGATCATATCATGTTACTTAAAAGTATTTGATATAAAAAGTTCTGGTGGCTCGTGTTCGCTTCGGCAGCACATATACTAAAATTGGAAAAAGTTCTGGTGGCTCATGTCTAACTACTCAGGAGGTTGAGACCTGAGGATCATGGCTCAAAGCCCGCCTGGGCAGGAAAGTCTGTGAGATTCTTATCTCCAATTAATCCCCAGAAAACCAGAAGTAGTATTGTGGCTCAAAGTGGTAGAGCAGTAGGCTTGAGTGAAAGAGTTTGGGGACAGTGCCCAGGCCCTCACTGATGAAAGCACCACAGCTGACGAAAGAAAGAAAGAAAGAAAGAAAGAAAGAAAGAAAGAAAGAAAGAAAGAAAGAAAGAAAGAAAGAAAGAAAGAAAGAAAGAAAGAAAGGAAGGAAGGAAGGAAGGAAGGAAGGAAGGAAGGAAGGAAGGAAGGAAGGAAGGAAGGAAGGAAGAAAGGGAAGGAAGGAGGGAGGGAGGGAGGGAAGGAAGGAAGGAAGGAAGGAAGGAAGGAAAAGAAAGAAGGAAGGAAGGAAGAAAAAGAAAGAAGGAAGGAAGGAAAGGTTCTAGTATAACAGAAGAATTAAAAATTGGAGTAGGATGTCATTTGTTAAGTAAATTAAATTTATTTCAGGGAGGAAAAGGACTTGCGCGTCAAAGAAAAGTACAAAACTCAATACGTAAGCAAACTCCAAGAGGTCCCATAATAACAGAAAACTGAAATTTACCTTCTGCCAGTCGCTGCTTCCACCCCTGTGCTGCATATGCAAAGAATTCATTATTTAGAGCTGAATTGCTGAGGCGTAAAATTCCATCACTTCCCATCTAGGAAATAAGCCGACAAAAACAAGATTCCATCAGGAATAATTCAAAGCAAAAGTATGCAGAAAGGCAACAAATCTGAGTGGGGTTAGGTATGGGGAGTACAAGGAAGGGAATGAAGGAGAAGGAAGGGAAGAAAGAAAAGGTAAGGGGGGGTGGGATATGGGAAGGAATAAGAAGGGGAAACAAAGGAGGAGGCAATAATGCTTGATAAGAAATGTACTCATTATCTTGCCCATGTAATTGTAACTCCTCTGTATGGTATTTTCATAATAAAATTTTTTTTAAAAAGAAAGAAAAGGTAATCTCCTAGGATATACATATATATATATATATATATATGTATATATATGTATGTATATATATATCACACACTATATGCATTATGCTTGCTGAAGGAAGGCCCAGAAAAATTAGAGTATTATCTTCAGTTGGTTTCTTAGTTATGGAATGACAATAAAAGATAAAAATATAGATAATGCCAAACATTTGTTAAGTGGGAGTTAAGCAGCTCAAATGTGAAAGCTGTGTGAAGTATCTGGGTGGACAGGATGGGTTAGGGAGAATTTGACCTACGAGTTGGGAATGGAGTAGGATCAAGCGACTGACAGGATTTGAACAAAAGGGTTGGAGTTTAAAGCATATATGTTCAGATAGCATGGACTTTCTTGTAAATCAGAGCATCATAACCAATCAGTACTGGACCATTTCTGATGGTATCTTTGAGAATATTTGCTGTGTGATATTCATAAGGTCTGACAGCTGTGGCTCCTAGTACTTTTCAAAGATTGCCCCCCACACTCTAGATATCCTAAAAACATACTCAGATTTCTTATCCCTGTGCTTTGGCTTGGGATTTTTCTCCACAGCCCCTTGACAGTTACTTTAAAGATTTAATGAAATGCCCTCAGGTAGAGTGCTTGCCTAATACGCATGAAGTCCTGGCTTCAATTCCTCAGTACCATATAAACAGAAAAAGCCAGAAGAGGTGCTGTGGCTCAAGTTGTACAGCGCTAGCCTTGAGCAAAACAAGCTCAGGGACAGTGCCCAGGCCCAGTTCAACCCCCAGGTCTGGGGGGAAAAAGAGAAAAAGAGAATGTTGACTTAAAAGTCCACACTTTATACCATCTAATGTACATCTGATACTTCTGAACTGGATCATGACCAATGAAATATAGAAAGATAGAGATCATGGACAAATATGAGATACACTGATGATATTAACAGAGAGGCCACAGATTTGATATTTTTCATTTCATCTAAGAAGAAACCAATAGCCATGCTAATAAAATAGTGCATTAGAAGATTTCAAGCAATGTTTCACTCATGCATTGATTATTCTCAATAGATACCTATAAGGCCAGTCAGATAATGTGCCTGGTACTTGTAAAGTGTTGGCAATAAAATGCAATAAAGAAAATGCCCATGGGCTGGGAAGGTGGCTCAGTGGTAGAGCACTTGCCTTGTATGCTCGAGGCCCTGGGTTTGATTCCTCAGCACCACATAAGCAAAAAGAAAAAAGCCAGAAGTGGCGCTGTGGCTCAAGTGGTAGAGCGCTAGCCTTGAGCTGAGGGACAGTGCCCAGGCCCAGAGTTCAGGCCCCACGACTGGACCAAAAGAAAAAAGAAAAAAAAAGAAAATGCCCTTATCCTTATGTGGTGAATAAACTCCATTATGTAGCAGATGTGTCTATTGTTTGTCAATTTTTCTACCCACCTGAGGTCAGCAGCCTCTTATCTTATGAGGGGAAAATGTCCCAGGTTTCCCATCCGTTGACTGTATAATTCTAGAACACTATTCTTTAGAAGGTGGTTTATGCATGAACCAACCCACGTTATTTGGTTATGTATCCCAAATGACTAGAATGTATAGGTCTGGAAACTAAGGATTTAAAAGAACCTTCACACTATAAATTCTAGGTCTCCACTTGAAAACTGTGTGCATCCTGTTCCCAGGGCGGGAGGCTGGGAAGGGATGTGAAGGGTAAACAAAGGAGGAGGCTGCAATGCTTGATAAGAAATGTATGCATTAACCTGCCCATGTAATTGTAACCCCTCTGTACAGTGTGTTCACAAAAAATTAAAAAAAAAAAAGACTCTAAATTCTGAGGGATTATAAGCCCAAGACAAATGGGTCAATCAGCTCTAGCCATCATTAGGAAACAGGACTACTGCTGTGGGGGGGCCGGGGGCGTAGACCAGAGGACACTAGGAATGCTGGTTGCTTTCAACCTGAGTTAAACAGCACTGATGGCCTTAAAGGGGAAGACAATTATGGAACCACAGGTTGCAAGGACAGAGGGTGGGGCCCTCTACCAGGCCAAGCAGCAGATCTGCTAGTTGGAGACAAACGTAAGTGGGTGTAAAGAGAAGGCAATAAGTAATTGCATGCAGTCTTAAACCTACTTAAGATTAGGACTGCTTAAAGCTGGTCATCTAGTCTGAAGTCTTGTTCTTGTCACTGTAACCAGGGACCTATTAAAGAGTTGTGACAGAGGGCTTTTCATGTGAGGTATAGGTAGATAGAGTGGTGTAAGAAGTTGATGACAGCATTAAATGGTGGTGATCTATTCTGTGACATACCCCATGAATTGCAGAGCAATGCACCAACCCACGTTAACTGATAAGGTTCTAGGATTTTCTGTGAAGCCCAAAGGTCTTTAAGGCACTCTGCAGGTAGACTGGGAATATAAACCTTGGTCCTAAGAGAAACTCAAAATCCACAGGAGGTAAGGGCCTGGAAAGAGGCCTCATTTTCCTTTGGTCCTTTGTTTTTGTTCTTTCTATGGGTACATTCTTTGGTTCCTTCCACATGTTGGCTCCAAAGTCTTCAATAGCAAGGAGGCTCAGCTGTCTAGAGAGCTTCCACTGGCCCTCTCTTTCATAATTGAATCCCTAGCTTCCAACAGCATTCAAGTTCTCATCCAAGCTCTACTTTGGAAGGTAAGATGATGAGTCGAACCTCATACGACAAGTGAGCTAAGAAGTTTGGGCTACAACTTCTACCTGAGTGCATCCCAGCATAGGTACCCCAGGTGAGCATGAAATATCAAGTTAATAGCTTCTCCTTCACTCTGTGTCCACCTCTTCCTAGTTGTTTAATATGAGCCAGAAGGAGAAAATTGTGATGCTGCTCTAGGTAATAGGCAAATATCAAAAAGGTTGAAATGTCAAAAAAGGCTACAAAGATGTGCACGTGGAAAGACTTCAAGTCCTGTGTAAAGACCAGAAAGTAGGAAAGAGAAACACAGCGATACAAGTACTGATGGTCTTGGAATATTTCATAAAGGATGATAAAAGACAAATTTAAGAGACACTTAAGATTGGACAAGGCTTTAGAATTGAGAATTTGATATTTATGGGATATCAAAATTATTCAGAATGATTCTGAGAGAGAGAAAAGATTAAAAAAATATGGCTGCTCTAGAGCACAAGGATCCATGTTATCAAGGAAATCTAGCATAGAAATTATGAATGAAGAGGAAATAGTTGTTGAATATTCCTCCTAGAAGCCTGACTTTTCTATGAATACAGCTTTGGAATACCTGTCATAGTAGTTTAAGAGTCATAGGCTGAAAAAAAAAAAGCTTCTATATACTAAGAAAGATTAAAAGAAAAGAAGAATGTTTCTAGTACAAACAGCTTAAACTAGAACTACTAGGCAGAAAGCAGGCTCTCTGAAAATACAAGAAGAAATTCCATACTACTGACCTTTATAAAGGCTCAGAGAAAAATGTCTGAATTATTGTTCATATGATGACACATACAAAGCCTGTCTTCTATAGACAGAGCCATGTAGGTATTCTATAAAAGTTTATTGCATTGTCCTTATTTTAAGTGGTGAAGAAATTAATTTAACTATGGTAGCTAATGTACAGTATTTTAGTTTCATGTATCCTTCCAGGCCAGGAACTTGGTTAGTTAGTTAGTCATTGAAATTTCAGCAATAATCTTAAGGCACAAATGAACAGCAGATCCTGATGGGCTCTGAGAAGATTCTCAAGATTTCAACACAAGAAAATTCAAAGCAGGGTGACTGAAAAGCATTAAAGAATATGGAAGCTAGCCTCAGAGGAAATGTTTCTCTTTTTAAAACAGCAAAACAACATGAACTGCCAGATTCCCAGTCTATGTGAGACAGCACGATTAAATACCAGGGCTAAATTAGACTTAGGAAATACATGCCAATAAAACTTTTAAAATACACTATTAATTTTATGGCCCTTAAGAAATACTGTCTAAAAGATATAACATTTTAATGAACTAGAACAATAAACATTTCTGGAAGGTCTATTTATTTATTGCTGAGCTATAAATTCTTGTAGTTTTCATTAGCTGAGACAAAAACATTCATTTTAAAAACAAAATCACCTCTCTTTTAATGAAGTGTCCAGCTAGCCTACTGGTAACTTATTCTTCCTTTGTAAATCAGCGAGGGGAAAAAAAACTGATTAAATGATATTCATGGAGGAAATAACACCAGTAAAGGAAACGTTCCATTGTAGAAATCTCTTACAATCTCTTACAAAGGTTGAAATATTTTCTTTGACATTGATTATATCACATACATTTTAGGCGATGTATGTTAGGTAGAATTCGGAGTATCACACAAATATTGCTGTAGTTAATTCAAAGCAAGAATATATTCACGTTTAATCAAGTATATCTTTAAACCTGAATTGTATTCTTTATCACCTTTTTTTCTTATTTTGCTTCTTGCAAATGATTCTGCATGCAGTTTGGTGGCTGATAGAGGAATATGAGAAATGTACTGGATTAAAAGAAATAGAAATGTAAGCAGTTTGGATTTCACTCTATCATGAATGGAGAGTCTTTAAAAGGAAAGCAGAAGACTTATGAAAAGATTCCTATTAATGTGTGTGGAAAAGCAGACTGCTAGTTTAGACTGGTTTAGTAAGGATAGCTGATAACTGACTTCATAAAGAAGGGCACTCAGGTAAACCTCTGAACAAAGCATTAATATGAGTGATCTCATACCTCTCT